CACCCCAAGGAGCTGGTGGGGCACAACAGCTGGGAGACAACACTGATTCCTGGGCACCCTGGGTAGTGCCCCGTCTCCCAAGAAACATACATGTACCCTGCAGGAAAGTCTGGTGGTTCCTCATGGGACTCAGAAACTCAGTGTTATCAAACTTTTCCAGAAAGTAAAAGGGAAAAGACCCTGGGCTCCTTCTAGGAGCCTAACAACCCCTTGATTCCAAAACCAAACCAAAACCAGCAAGAGTTTTCCAAAAGGAAAAATGTATTTATTCCATCTTACTCCAGATGATAAATGTTAAGACTTTAGGCAAGATCTGGGCTGGGGATTTAGCTCAGCGGCATAAGCACCTGCCTTGCAAGCAGGCGGTCGTGAGTTCGATCCCCAGTACCGATAAAAATGAAAAAGACCAAAAAAAAAAAAAAAAAAAAAAAAAAAAAAAAAAAAGACTTTAGGCAAGATCTACCCACTAAATCTACCAGTGTGTTGTTTAAAGCAGTACATGTGTGTGCATGGATGTGTTCGGTTATCAAGAGTGTTTATGTTGTAAACTTCCTAGGCTAATGTGACCGTAGTTCACAAGACTGCATTGTATGCTGGAATTTGCTTCAAAATGCTATAGAATAACAAAAGATAACTATGTGAGGTCATGGATATGTAAATTAGCTCGATTATAATGTTGATTTTAAAATATATTCGTTGGTAGAAACATCAAATTGTACACATGAAATATATAATTTTTGGTCCATTAAACTCAATGAAGCTGAAATATGTAATAAAATATGGGTTATTTCAAGAAGAAATAAATAATTATAGTATGTTGATTTATAGCAAAAACTATGTGATAAATTTAATTAGTACAAGGAAGAAATTTAGTAACATTCGCTCAGATATCATAAAATATCTTTGAAAATTAGGAGTTGTTAGAATTTTCTTTTATGCTCAACAAGGAGCCACACAAAATTGAAACTGTTGCCATGAGGATGTCATGTTGATATTAGTATTCAGTATTAAATGAGAGAGTCTTGCCAGTACATAAAGAAATGAAATTTATAAGTTTTGTAAAAAATAAAAAAGCAAGAAAATTTTTACTATTCACAGTTCATTTGCTGCACAGAAAACTTAGAGAATCTAAAGAGTAATATTTTGAATTAATGTGACCATTTAACCATTGGCTTAATATATAATACAATGTAAAAAGCAAATGTATTCCTACATACCAGCATCAGGTTGTTAGAAAGTGTAATTCAAACTGGATAAAGATTAAAATTTAAAATATAAAGAAAGTTACACAATTTGAAGCATAGGAAGATTCAGAAAAATTTTGAGTCTCCCCAAATTATTTGTAGATTCATTCCATCTGCCATCAAAATCTCAACAAGATTTTATCAAGTTGCTCCTGCGTCTTATGTAGAACAAAAGGATAGGAACAGCTGAGTAGTTCTGGAAAACAGGTCAGTAAGTGAACTTCTCTACCGGATACATGACTCACGATGTAAGAATAGCAGCTAACAAAATGGGACAGAGACCCTGGCATCCAGGGAAGGAGACTGGGAGAGGTAGACAGCACACTCAAGATCCCACCCAAATTTGGCATGTGACAATGTAGTAATGCAAGTCATTAAGGAAAAGATCACCACATGGCTAATATACTAGGACAACTGGTTTTACTTTTGAAAGGTAATGAAGCTCATTACCCCCTACCTACCTGAAAACAAATCGTAAGTGTATTAAAAATACAAATATAAAAGATGATTGTTTAAAACTTTTGGAGAAGATGCAGGAGAATATTTTAAGGTCTTGAGAAAGAGGAGACACTCTTAAGGCTAGAAGAGCATATCCCCATAGAAGAAAAAATGTATAACTTTGCTTAAAATAAAGATTTTTTTTTGCTCATAAAAAGGTATAAAGAAAATGACAACCCATGTGCTTAGAGAAAAAATGTTTGCAACATATAAAAAACAAAGGATTTTTGTATTTCCCTCCAAGTCGATAACTGAAAGCCAAGCAACCCAATGGAAAAATGGACAAAGACTTGAACAGGTATTCCAGGAAAGAAGGAAGATACCAGTAACTTGTAGTTTTTTCTTTCCTTTCTTTTTAATCGGTGTATATTTGCCTTGAGGAATTGTTACACACACACTTCTCATCTTCATCATTTTTACCTCTGCTTGCCCTCTTGGCCTTCTGCCCCCACACGCTTCCCTTAAAAACATCTGAAAGGGTGATCAGTGTCAAGCCCTTGCCACAAGGCTGTCACCAACAGCAAAGGGAAAAGGAAGTTTGCAGGAGGGAAGCGTGGCTGACACCACTTTTGATCAAAGCGAACCTCATCACTGGTGGTACAAATGGAAACCGTACACAACTGATCAAATGCAGCAGAAACAGGCCAACACTTCGGTGACCGGCCTGTGAAAGGGGTATGCCTTCCCTTGTACTAGGCAGAAATGGCAGACAGACTCAGACTGGCAGGCGGCCCACGAGGCAGTGGCCAGTGACTTGAAGTTATACTACAAAGCAACAGTAGTAAAATCAACATGGTGCTGAAATCAAAACAGAGCCGAAGATCAATGGAATAGATTAGAAGATACAACCACAACTACAAACACACTCAACCACCTTATCTTTGATAAAGGAGCCAAGCAGGCTCACTGGAAGAACGACAGTCTCTTTAATAAATAGTGCTGGAAAAACTGGCTCTACCTTTGCCGAAAACTAAAGCTAGACCCATGTCTATCACCATGTACTAAAATAAAATCTAAATGGATCAAAGATCTGAATATTAAAACAGAAACACTAAATCTATTGCAAGACAAATTGGGTAGAAACCTTGAAGACATAGGGGTAGGTAGAGAATTCATGAACAGGACTCAAACCGCACGGGAAATACTTCCCAGAATCAATAGCTGGGACCACCTCTTATTAAAAAGTTTCTGCATGTCAAAAGAAATCTCCAGCATAGTGAAAAGAAAACCCACAAACTGGGAAAAGATCTTAGTGAACTCCCCCTCAGACAAGGGACTTTTGTCTAAAACTTATAAGGACTTAAAAAAAACTCAGACCCCCCAAATTCAAAGATCCAATCCAAAAATGGGCATCTGAGATGAATACGCAATTCTCAGATGAAGAAATGCAAATGGCAAATAAATACATGAAAAAATGCTCATCATCATTGGTCATTAGAGAAATGCAAATTAAAACCACACTGAGATACCATCTCACTCCTGGAAAGAATGGCCAGGATCAAGAAAACCAACAACAACAAATGCTGGAGAGGCTATAGGGAAAAAGAACTCTCCTACACTGTTGGTGGGAGTGTAGACTGGTACAATCTTTGTGGAGGTCAATCTGGAGATTTCTCAAAAAGCTGGGATTGCAAGTCCCATTTGTTCCAGCAATTCCACTTCTAGGCATATTCCCAGAAGAACTGAAAGCATCATACCACAATGATATATGTGCACCTAGGTTTATAGCAGCACAATTTGTAATCACCAGATCTTGGAAACAACCCAAGTGTCCATCAACTGAGGAATGGATAAAAAAGTTGTGGTATTTCTATACAATGGAGTATTACTCAGCTATAAAGAAGTATCACATTGAGATATTTATCAATAAATGGGCACAGCTTGAGACCATAGTCATAAGTGAAATAAATCAATCTCGCATGTGTGAATACCAAATAGTTTCCCTAATGTAAGTAATGATTCAAATATATAAAAGTATGTGGTAATCATGATTCCCCATTATGTGGCCTTGAAGCCTTATAAAGTTTTCACTTATTAATTGGAATGGCTTTATTCTGGGCTGCTTGATATTATTGCCTGTGATGAAATGAACAGCTATTTTGAAGAAAATAAGTCATCATAATAGTGCTGATTTACTATCATCTTGTTTTGAAGCCCCACCAAACTATGGCTCTTCTGTCTCCATTGGTTTTATCATGATGTATCTTTCTGGATTTTATTATATGTGATAGTATAAACAAAAATTGTTATAGGCAAAGAGATAATATAGAAACCATTGTTCGTTTTCTGTTAGCTGGTTCTAAATATCCTACAATGCTTTCCTCCACTTGAATGGTTTTACACTGACTGGATATATTTGAAGCTATAGTATATGAAGTTATATTCAAATATTTCAAGGAAACAGGCACTATGGTAACTACTATTAAGTCGTGTTATTTGGTGGTGAAGCACTAGGTTGCTGAAACTGTCATGCTTTGACCTGTATTGTTATGTTGTTATGTCCTCTTTTATCTCAATCTCTCCCTTATTCATTAAAAAAATTATTTAGTTAAAAAACATGTGTAGGCATAACACTTTCCATTTTAAGGCAAAAGAATGAATCACACATGCTGTAGGGTCGGTTCCTAGTTTTGAGGGCCAGTGAGAAAAATGGCAGGTGGAGTGTAACCACACCAGGGAATTGGGGTGTTTCAGTTAGGTCACTCCAGGAGGAACGCACATTATCAGTATGCTTTCTTATGTGTACATTGCATAGTTTATATACAGTATATCAAGTACTACATTAAAATATTTTTAAATAATTGAAATCACTGGAGATGTGAATTATAACACAGGCTTGGGTTTTCCCCTTTAGTGCTGTGAAGATAGTATTTTAAGGCTGGAAGGAAAGGAAGGGCAAAGATGAGGGAGGTCTGTCCATCTGTCAGGACATTTATGACCAATGTCTTCAAACAGTAAACAAAAGAAAGTCCCAGAGCCACAGCAATAAAGGACAGCATCAGGTCCTTTCCCAAGGGCATGGTCATCTGCAATTCTGTAAAGCTGCCTCGACCTCCCCAGCCGGAGAAGCACAAGGGTAGTTAGCCCGACGCCCAGCGCTCTGAGCAGGGCGTGGGTTCCCAGGCAAAGCAACCCTTAGCAGGGCTTTCTCCTGTGCTGGCCTTCTCTGTCTTAAAGAATCTACTTGAAGCAGAAAATCAGACGCCTTCCAAAAGACTGCTGTTAACTAAAGAGCTCATTTTCCTGTTTGTCACACAGTGCCCAAACACGTGAAGAAAGCAAGCGTGTCAGTTATGTGAAAAGGTGAACAGAACACCTTTCTGAAGAACAGACCCCTGACCCGTGACCCCTCAGGTCCCGCGCTGTACAACACGATGCTTCCCAGCAGCTTGGAGATGTGCTTTGTTTACCTGCAACTCATGCGGAGATACTGATTCAACATGTGAACCATCCGTGCAAAAAAATATTCACAACAGTTCCACCTTGAGCTCTCATTTGGAGAGGTCATAAATGAATTTTTACCCTCATAGTCACTCACTAGATGAGATAGGAGTTATGGGGCCACAAAACATTTTCCTTTCTATTGAAAGGAGGTGACAGCATGTGGACTTCGTGGCTTAACCATCACTGAAGAGGAGCAACAGTGCATCTATCCCAAAGACACTGGATTGAGGACAGAATCACCACTGAACTTGTCAGGAAGACACTAGAGCAAACCAGCACAAGGGGTTTATGTCTGACTTTGCAAAGCAGCCATTTTTATGTTTTCTGCTACTTCTGGATGGCTGATAGCGCCAGATGGCTTCCTTGTAAGTGGACCTGCTACTAATAAGCTAGGACTGATGTGTAATTACGCTTTCAGTGCTTCATCTGCGAAACACCCTGGGTTATTTTACATGGGAGCATCTGGCTCACATGTGTACAGTGGTTACCCCGCGGTGATTGACATGTGTATTCTTCTAATAAAGTCCCAGTGGCACAGATGTGAGCACTGCCTTCTGCAAGCAGAACTTGCATTTGAGAAATGCTTGCCCCTACCCTTCCTGAAATGAACATTTCAGTCTTATGCATGCAGACACACATGGGCACGCACACACACACGCACATACATGCATTGCACTATAACCAGGACATAGCATAAATATTCCATGCTATATATTCCAGTCGTTGAACAGATATATGTAAGGAACTTTATCTTTTCTAACATTTATTTATACCACAGCATCTGTTTTGGATTGCCGGCTTGAAGAAGGCGGTGGCCATGTCAGCTTCACATTAGGCAGACAGCATCCAGGAAGGCATAGTTCTCTTTTGAGTCTTTACTAAGTTTTTGTCACTCAAGATAGTGATGCCAATGACTTTAAGAAAAAAGGGCAGTTTACAATCCAACCTCTGTGCTTTAAGAGCCATCTGCTGTACATGCTCATGTTTTCTACTTCACTCACTGCAGTTAGCCAGGTAGCACAGAAAGCTATAGGTTTTTGCTTTTGTTCTTGTTCTGTTTTAGCATGTTCTTTCCATGTTCTTTCCATGATCCTGGCCACAGACTGAACTGGATGAGAAGGGAATCAGACCAAATCAGATTCGGTGGTTAGGTTCCACATTGACCATATGGGGAAATTTGATCCGGTTTTCGTGCAGTCCAGTTTGCAACCAGAATTGTGGAGAGAATTAAATTCGTGAACTGAAGCAGCACTGTAATTTACTTCTTGTTAGAATAATTATCTAGTGAGGTGCCGTGTGCTATTTTAAACAGGTAAAGTTCAGGGCAGATTTCGCGAGGCACGTAGCGTTCTAGCTGAGCCTCTAGGGTGGACAGAATGAGAGTGAACCTGGGGAGTACCGGGAACACAATCCAGGCAGAGGGGAAAGGGAAGGTGTGGATTAGAGGCCGACACAGGTAGGCCTGGCCTCACAGCCTTTCAGGCCCATCTTTTTTCTTCCTGAGGGCCAGGACTTTGAACACAAGCTCTGCACATAGAGCTCTATCCCCCGTTCTTTTTTATTTTTACTTTTTTATTTTGAGACAGGGTCTCCCTAAGCCTGTAAGTTGCTCTGGCTGAGCTCTAACTTGCAATCTTCCTGCCTCAGCTTCCCAGAGTGCTGGGATCTTAGACATTTTATAAACTGTGAGATTTTGGTAAGTCTGTGTAATATGTTACTTTTTTCCTCATACAGAAAATAGAGACTGTATGAACTTCCTGATATTAGGACCATGATACATGTATAGAACTTAGCAAAGTGCTGGCATAAGAACATTTAATAAATGTTCACTTTAACAATTTTAAATATATTGCAACAGAATTTTAAATGTTGAGCTAAAAAACAAAAGAGACAGTAATTTTAAAAACACATAGAAAGCTCAGGCAATATACAAATATCTAAACTTCCAATTGAAAATTTTATTTCTATGGAAAAAGTTAAAACATTGTCTTTTCCCCCCTTAAGTTATTCTTGTCAGTTATATATATGGCAGCATTGTGTCAAAGTCTAATCATGCTTGGATTAAATTATTAATATAATATTGATAAAAACTTTTCAATGCAGAAGTTACCTTTGAATTTTAATCCGTTTATTGTTCCTCTCGTAGTAGGTCATAAACTCTGTAGGCTGTGATTCTCAATCACTTGGAAAACAATTCTGTGCCTTATTTCCAAATTAATAATTATCTTTTACTTCATGTGTACGAGACTTTGGCCTTGGCCCACACTCATAAGCAAGCATAAGCATAAGGAAATGTAAGAGACTCATCATTTATAATTGGTGAGATGGTCTAATCTAAATTTCCCAAGAAAAATGAACAAAACTCACACTTCATTTACATTATCTGAGGTTCACTTATGATGTGCAACACCGGAACTTTTTGTGACTGCTGAGGAGGAGCTGGGGGCAGTGGTAATCATCGAGAAAGCAGAAGCCTCACTGGTCACTTCCTAGGTTGCTCTGTGTACTTATTTTACTAAATGTCGCCCTGCTCCCCAACATGTAACCCTTCTATTCCAAGTTTAAATGAACAATCATTGTGGGCGTTTCCAGAAGCTTACTTATATCTACATGGGAGTTGAATCTTCCCATGGTGAGAGTCACTTCAGATCAAAATAAGGCTCACCGTAAAACAGTTTAATCTCAAGATTGTGAAAACACGCGTTTGCTACAATCTTAAAAGGGATAATTCTCCCGCTAGCATTTCTAGTGGTAAGAACTTTCAGGAACTGGGGTGTTACAAGCCACCTTTTCCAATTAGAATTAAATATGCCTGTTGCCTTAAAACCCTTACCTGGGAGGAGTCTATTCGAGGACATTTATTGTTTATATTTTTTGCTTTAAATCCAGCTGCAATTGTATTATTAGGTCAACTCAATGACACGGAGTACTCTAAGGTTAATAAAAACCAGTGTGTAGGCCCATAATTATTGACAAAGAAAGAGATTTGCCAATAAAGTAACAAAAACATTATAGAGTATTTTTCATAATATAATTACTTTTAAAAGCATATATATGTATTTATATATACTTATGCATTATATATAATTATATATGCATGTATAAGTTTCAAAAGACCTGCACCAAAATGGCAGTACATGGAGTCACACAGAAGAATTGTTATTTTGTTCTATTTTTCTGAAGTCTTTGTAATATGAATATACTTCTCCACATACCAAAAATGCACTTTGTGGTTACTAGCATCTGCTGACACTGTGTTGGACTTGGAATTTTTCAATTTAAAGATCTAGTTCCCTTAAGAAGAATATGAAAAATTTAGTATTTGTTCATATTGAATGTTTTAGTATTAACTATTTCATATTATTGAATATTTGAGTGTGATGAGCACTCAAAATAAATTAAGAGGAAATAATACTGAAAATTTAGCTTTATAACTTTAGATGAAACCTAGAAGCTACATTTTCCTCTTCTGTCCTAAGAGTACAATAATAGTATTTGGACCCAGAAAGGACTTTCAGATGTGAACATAGCCTATTACCCCATGCTAAAATTTTGGATATTTGTATCAAGTTTGGATTAGAAGGATCTGTCATTATTAATAAAATAAAATTTAGTTAGAATATAAATAATGATTTATTTTAGATATTCAGTGGAATGATACAGCACCACTCCACTTTTTTAACAGTTGCTAGAGGAAAGAAAATAATTATTGCTGCTATTAGTAAAATACTTTTAATCATTAGCATATCTTCAATTATGATGAAAAATTATATAGTATAGACCAAGTAGTGTTTGTATAGAACACGAAAGTTTTAAATCTACAAGTACAAGTATTCCTTCTTTTTTAATTTTAAGGAGAAAAAAGATAAAAATGATGAAACAGTTTCAAAACAGGTTAGGGGGACAGTTACAATAATTAGTACATTACATATTGTTATCTTTGTAGTAGTCATTCAGAGTACGAAAGATAGGCATGATATCTTGTGGTATTTACAAGATAGTTAAGATAGGTATACAGCTAGTTTCTCTTAGTTAATTGAAAAGAAAGGTTTGTGCTAACATAGTACAAATTATTCTTTCTGCAAGAATAAATTTGTTACTGGCACTATCTTTGGGGCTTTTAATTGCCACGGAATAGTTTAATTGCTTAAGTATATTTTTGATCAACTAGACTTTGAAATTTTCAAGGATAGTATTTTTTAAAGTCTTGGTACCTCAGGATTGAAGTGATTGAAGTTAAAAATCTACCTATTGACTGAAGTTAAAAATCTATAATTTCAGTCTCACAATTGAGTTGACTATTAAAGTTTTTACGATTATTGCTTTTTAGTAGTTTATCATAGTTTTTATTTTATCATAATAGTCTTTTTGGAATAATATAAAAAACTGTCATTTGTAACATTTCTGAAAAATGTGCCCTGAGTTTAAGTTTAAAAACAAACTTTTTGAAAAAGCAAGCATTTCTTGAGTTGTAAATCTTCTACACGTGAAAAACCATGGTTCCTGCCTTCTGAGAACCTGAGTTCTTAGCAGTGTGCTTTATAAACTGTCTCTTATAGTCACTTTGAAATGTATCAGTTGTAGAGAAGTTACCAATAAGAGAATAGGAATTATCAAACATCCTTTTTTGTTTTATAGCATGATGAGAGGGGTCATGTTTATGGGAAATCATAAAAGGTTGCACTTTAGACAGTGATTTGAAAGAGTTAATATTTTTTAAGAATTAAGTTTTTTTTTCTGTAGAGACTCAGTAACATTTTGGTGGAAATATGGAGGTTATATATATATATATATATATATATATATATATAATTATGATCAGATTGTAGACTTCAACTAAACATGTCCCATGCATGTTTATAGCCTGTTCAGTTTTTGTGTTTGTCTCTTGGGTAATGCATGTGAGTATATGGATGACAGTTTATCTAATCTCAAACAAACACTAGAATTTCTTGGTTTAATATTTTTATTTTTGCTTATGCTTTCCCAGTTTTGAAATGTGATTCTCCTTCTTGACTGGTTATTTTGAGATCGATGGTGATAATCTCCTATTGATAACAGGGACTGTGTTTCTTTTCAAACTAAAGAATGAATGGATCAGAAGACTTTATTTTAGTTTTAATTTACTTGCATTAATGAGAAAGGTATGATTGCTTGTTGGTCAGGCTATTACTCAGCAGGCGGATAGAGGAGATTTAAATTGAGTAACACTCCTCAAGCTTTAATAGTAATAGAATGTAATGAAACTTAAGTAACTTAATGAAAATCCAAAGGGCAGTTTGATAGAGAGAGAGAGACAGAGAGAGAGAGAGAGAGACAGAGAGAGAGAGAGAGAGAGAGAGAACCATCTGTTGTGGGATTTTAGCTGTTATGATGGCAAGGCTTCTCATTTAACCACAATCTTCCTTTCCCAAGCATTCCAGTAAAGTGGGATATAACTGAACTAATGGTGTATAAACCAATGGTTCATATTAATATGAACTTGTAAGCATATAAATTTCTAAATGTCTAAAACTACTTAGAAAAATAACTTAATTCATATTGGAAACCACTGGCCAAAATTAATTGTCCAAAAATTAAAATTTCCATGCTGTGCCCTACATGAAATTTAAATTATCTTCTTACGACTTTTCTGTCTTTCTGATCCAGATCGATTATATGCAACTCATATATGAAAGCAGCAGTAGTCTTTTTCACATCTTTAAGAGATAAAAATGCAAATACCATTAATGACAATCACTTTATTCAAAGGAGGTTCAGTTCTTCATTCTTAGAAATTACGCCAGGTTCTAAAAGAATCAGCATCACTGTTCTCTTACGTCTTCCCATGTGAGATGCACGGATGAAACTCTGTGGTAGACACTCCTTCCGTCGGGCAATGGCTTTGTGTGTGCCCTGCCTTTAACCCGGGGGTGGGCGACTTCTGCAAGTGTGGAAGCAGTAGAGTACAGTAGCCTGCAGAGCTGCAGCAGGAAAGAGCTACCCTTTGCTTAGGGCGTTCACTTTTACCTCAGAAGTCTGGCCGCCCATGCCTCCTGGCTGCCAGAAGCCGAAGCCGCTGAAGACGCTCTTGTCCTTGAGACACAGTGGCAAGTGGGTCCAGCCTTCGCGTCTCTCCTGGGTTTCCAGGACCCCAGGAGATCATGACATTACAGAACAGAGGCAGGCCGCCCACCCCTGAGCTCCATCCAAATTGCTTAGTCACAGGAGTGGTGTAAAGTGGCCTTTGTGTTTGCCACTGAGTATTAAGTAGTGTGTTACATAGCAGCGGTTACTGCATGACTTTACTGGACTTAGGGTGTGCTTTGAGCAAATAGGAGATGCCTACCTTCTCCCCGGGAGACTCAAGGGCAGCTTCACAAAGGCTGTGACATTTGAATTTGCCTTTGATACACAAGAGCCCGCTGAGTAAGGTGACAAGGAGAGTCTGTGCAAAGCTGTGCAAGGAAGCTGTGCAAAGTGTGGAGACTGAGAAAGAATGGTGCGTTTGATGGGTGAAGAGAAGTCGGAGATGTGAAAGCCTTGGAAGTTAGCACCAAATAGTAGCCGTCAAGCTAGAAATTGTGCCCTGATTTTTCTTTCTGCTGTGGCACCAGAGTTTTAAGCAGAAGTCTTGTAGAAGTGGCAGGTAGTAATCAGATTTGTCTTACTGAAATATTACTAGTTAGCAGTAGTATGAAAACGCAGCCAAAAAAAAGAAGTGAAAGGCAGGAGAATAGGAATAATTACACACTTGCGACAACAGGCAAGGCTGAGATGTCACTTTCTTATAATATCAGAACAGGATCCACCGTAACACTGGCTGTTGGAACTGTTAAATCACCTGATTATTCCATTTGTAGGTTTGAGGCTTGCTAATTAAATGCTTCAACCAACCCTCCATTTTGGTAAATAAAACCAATGCATTTGTAAACTACTGGTTAGCTAAATTTGTTAGTATTTCTGAATGACATCTAAAACTCCTCCATTCTGAATTTTGGGACATTATGATGAAATCACCTTATTTTTATATTTTTCTTAAGTCACCGGTAGCAGTAGGATATCTAATGAAATGCGAGCACATTGTGTCAGCTAATGCTCCAAGGAAACTGTGTGTGCTGTACTTTGCTTCCTCAAAATGAGTTTAATCTGGAAATCCTGGTAATTTACATACACAAAAGATGCGCCCGGTACCCTTAAGAGATAGAATGTGTGAGTGTAAAACAACTGCACGCAGGTCTGACTTTGACAGCTTTGATATTATTTCACCCATTTCGAGTGTGATAAAGTTTATTAATGGCATATAAATTTCTATTCCAATCATAATACCACACAAGTAAAAGACTTTTCCAGGCCAAAACGATTTAGAAAAAACAAAAACTGTCTTTCTCTGGCGGTTCCTGTAATCCTGAGCCCCAGGCCCCCTCCCCATTCCTGCTCTCCTGCCTAGCACCCACTATGGGAAACAGCGGTCCTTTCAAGCATTCTGTGCCTCTCCGCATTTTGGTTTTCCTTCGCGGTCTGGTTATGTTTTAAACATCAACTGAAAAGTTTAATCTTTCTAATTCAAAATCAAAAGCCGCAGCCTGTGATAGATTACTTCCATCTGCGCCGCTAGCGCAGAGCCCTGCCGCCTCGCTGACACGTTCGCTTAGGGCAGCCGGAACATCTCAGGGTCTGAGCGCCACTCTCTTTGTGTTTACCCGCGACTCCCAGCCGAGTTAGTACCTCTGGCACGGAAATTGTTTCATAGTTTTTTCACTTCGTTTAAGTTACTGTGTGAAGCCTCTGATGTTACAACGTGTTTGTCTTCGTTTAAACTTCAGTCTGCAGAGGAGTCTGCGGCGGCCTTTTGTGGAGTGGCTCAGGAAGTGTCAGCAGGCTCTGGTCCAGGAGCAGTGCCTCTGAGACCCACAGAAAGGTCCTGTGACCCTGAGGGTCCCTTAGCAGCCTTCCCTCTTCCTGAGAGCCATCTTAGCCAAACAGGGCAGCCTGCAGCCGGGGTTCCTTGCGTTCTGAGGGACTCAAG